TTCGCACGTTGTAAGATCACTGGCGCCAACAACGGCCGGCGTCTCCGTTGAATAAGGTCAACCGCGATATTGAACGTTGATTAATGCTCCGGTCAATCTCGAGGAATGCAAAGCTAGATCATACGGATTGCTCAATATCTATCTATCCATTACGATAAAAACACGTGTATCGTTTATTCGCCTCGGGATACGTCAAATAAGTTACTTGAACATTGTGCAAGAATCATATTATCGATTCTATCTTATTGTTAGAAATGAAGATAATTATGCAGAAAAAGGGAGCCACTCCTGATTTCGATCATTTTGAAATATGTTATCAAGGTCATCATCCTGAATAATGTTGTGAAGGTTTTAGCTCGTTTTATTAAAAAGTTATTAGCAAAGAAAGTATAAAGAATAGTATGTAATTCTATGACACCGTATATAGATTATATGTTTTCTGCTGAAAATAATGGCAGTTACATATCCTCTAACTAAAAATATAAATAAATAAATAAAATGAAATAAATAAAAATGTTCAGTACCTTGAAAAATTATTATTTTGTTTTTTGATATTAGGTTTAGGTTAGATAGGTTTGGGTTAGATTAGAATTTTTCGGGATGAGGGTGCAGGGGGAGAGGCTCCGCCCCTTTCATTTATAACACATAAATAAATGAATTTGCTAAGGTACGCTCTATTAAATGTACATAGTGTCAGAAAAATTACATTTTATTTAGTAAACTTTTTTTGTTAATAACTTGTTAATAAACAACGAGCATCGGCTAAAACCTTCACAACATTACTTAGGATGATGACCTTGATAACATATTTCGAAATTATCAAAATCGGGAGTGGCTCCCTTTTTCTGCATAATTACCGCAATGAATTTTGAAGAAAGAAATTATTTAATCTCAAAGAATTTTGAAAATATCGTTAGTTCAGAAAAAAAAAGATCAAAATTTACTAAATTATCATTTTTATAATTTCCTATCCAAAAAATAACTATAAAAAAAATCTATGCATAAAATTCAACTTTGCATTAAAAAGTGGATTGTAATTTATATCTAAAAGGTTACGTTTCCGATTCGTTGCCAATTATAAAATACACCCGTCGTAACGTTATAAATTACACGATACATGTACACGCATTAAAATATATAATGTCGCATAAATTATGTCGCTAAATGTACGCGCGCAGGAGAATGCAAACGTACCTACAACAAAGTGATTAAGAGAGAGAAAGAAAAGGAGGAGAGAGAATGGCGAAATTCAAGTGACAAAGTAGGCGTCATAACTGTCGACCTTGCCTCTCGCCACGGCGCCTAAAAGCAGATTAAGTCCCCGAAAGTGCACTTACATAAGTTCCCGCTTGTATCCGAGACGGATGGGAGTCGCGCAAACGCACAGCGGGACATTTCGCGAAACGGTGACGAAAGTAACGGAATTTTGCGTGCACGCACGTACGTGTTCGTAAATTAAAGTTCACGAGACTTTAATCTTGATTGATCGAGACACAAACCGAGCTCTCGAAGACACGTTAAAGAAGAGAAAAAAAGAGAGGGTTAAATATGAAGTATCAAATCCACGAATAAAAAGAATGGGAAAGAGAGAGAGAGAGAGAGAGAGAGAGAGAGAGAGAGAGGCTGCTCTTTTTATTCACGAATATCAAATAATATCTCGACATGATATGATATGATGAAACCAGCTTCGATATGACGGTTCAATCTTTATTTTGCGCGCGAAATCGCCCGGAATATGTCACACATACGATTGAGTTTCGAAAATGAAGATTTTCGAAAACATGGGCAGGCAAATTTTTTAAGAAATAAGTAAAAAATATTGTGAATAATTATAAAAAATATTGTGAAATATATTGTGAATAAATGTGTCACGTTGGCGTTATAAATTACATGAATTTTGCGTAGCACGAATGAATAGTATCCTTGATTTATAAGATACATTTTAAATACATTTCCATTAGTATAAAAATCATTTGAAACATAAAATCCTATCTAAAATAAAATTATGCATATTTCGTGCGTTCGCATTATATTATATATAACGCGCAAAATGCGCGATTATATGGTACGTAAAAATAATAAAAGTTCACTGTTTCAAGGTCCAGCATCTTAATTTATTTTTCAGATAAGATCGTCGAGAATTTAATAGCACGTCGAGATATATATTTTTCCCCCAATTATCTATAAAAATTAAATCCGGATCGCAAAACTCGATTTTTTCGCGACGCGATACCGATCAGATTTACGATCGTGATGCCGATGCACGCTTCGTTTTTATTTCCGTACCGATGCAAATGACGCGAAACGCCAGCGCAGTTACATCGTACGGTATTTTAACGCTGTAACATGCATCGAGTTTCAACAATCCGGTTCCGAATCATCGATAAATCCGGCGTAAAATCGCGAAAGCGGGTGCAGTACGCGTGTAACGCGTAAATTTCGCGCGTGCGCCTTTTTTTTTACGTCCTTTTATTATCGATTAATTATTAACCATAATAACTGACGGCGAGAAAGCGGTTTGACAAAAATACGCGCTGTAGACATATGTGCGATATTAATTTGAGAGCTGGATTTCGCATCGCCGTCGCTAATTACGACAATCTCGTAGCGAAATTCAAGCGAGATACAGAGTGTTTAAAAAAAAAGGGTAAAATATTTTAAGGAGATTTAGTATGCCCCAAAATAAGTTAAAAAGTTTTAATGAACATGGGTCCGCTAATGAACCGTTTTTGGGATATTTGCAATATTTCATAATTTAACTTACCCATAACTAATTTTATGAATTCTACGGAATATTCTGAAAATACTAAATCCACTGAATTCTTTGATTCTGAAGAGTCTACTAATTTAGCCATAATTAATTTATATATAATTTTTATTTAATTTATTAGAGGCTCAAAATGACCTTCCATATCTATGTCTGCATCTCCGCGAAAAAGAATCTCGTGCTCTTTCAAATACACTTGGGTTCTTTCTGATTATGACGTAGGCTTCTTGAAGAAGCCTACGTCATAATCAGAAAGAACCCAAGTGTATTTGAAAGAGCACGAGATTCTTTTTCGCGGAGATGCAGACATAGATATGGAAGGTCATTTTGAGCCTCTTCTCTAATAAGATAAGGTGTAATTTTTTTTTAACCGGCTATTTTTTTACATACATTATAATAAAAATAAAAATTTAAAACAAAAAATAAAAATTATAAAAATATAAAAAGATAAAAATATCAAAAACAAAAAAAAATAAAAATATCTCAAAAACGACTCATTTGCAGACTCATATTTATAAAAATTTTTCGACTTGTTTGGACATATTAAATCCTTTTAAAATATTTTACCCTTTTTTAAACATCCTGTATACCGTTAAGAGAGTCTTAATTACGCTCGATCAATCGCGTTTATAATCGCGTATTATTACCGTCGTAAAGTCACTTAAGTAATTGCAGTTGTCAAGTACGAATGTTTTCGAAAACCTTTTGAGCATTCGGACTGAGCGCGTTCGATATCGACAACTTTTGGCTGATAAAGCCTTGAATTTGCAGTATATGGGGTGTCTTAAAATCCATGATCTTGATTTTAACGAGAGATTCGTTGATGAATTAAAAAAGAGTAATTGTTTCCTCGAAATATAATTTTCACAGAGGAAAGTTTATTTATCTTATTTATTCCTCATGTTTTTGATATAGTTACGCTGACACGTACGATATGAAATGTAAGGCAATGTAATAGAAATGTTCTTAGTTGCTGCAACCGGTTCTAGAATTTTTAGATTTCGAAGAAGCGAGAAATGTATCGCCGCTCAACACTTGACAAACGCCGATCAGTGAAATCGTCCGATAACACACTTATCACCATCGACGGAGTGCGCTGAACCACGACGCACGACTAGTCGCCTTAAATAATGACAAGTAACCGTGCGTGATAAAAAAATGCGCGACGGGACGAGAAATCCAACCTTCTTATCGCGCGATCGCGGAATTTCTCGTTTTGCGCGGTTGGCGACACGAGAGCTGATGAAGTTTCGCAGAAAATTGATTACAGATTACTTATGCATGAATTCACATCCCCTATATATCCTATCTCCTTACGAGGATATGTCTATTCAACGTCACACACGCAATAATATTTAATAAGTTACGAGACAAGTTATAAATTTTTCTAAATCAAATTTTGAAAATATTTAGGCTAATTCGTCTAGTTTGACATCGCAAATGAATTTTATTTACCTTCTAATCTTAATATACTGATAATATATAATATACTGTGAAAAAAAAATTTGTTTCCTTTTTATAATTTTATATAAAATAATTTTCAATCTATTATCCATTGATATATTATTATTTATTTCGTGAATTTTAAATTATTAGATAAAATCTTTAGTAGTTATTCGCTTATATATGAATCAACATCTCTCGTACATTACGTGTGTGTCGTACAAGAGTATATTATATACATCATATTAAATATACAGGGTGTTTTAGGTCAGATCAATGAAACTTCAGGATCTTATAGGAAATTGAATTTGAAACAAAAAAGTTTTGAGCTAATTTTGTAAGCTAATAAACCTCGAAAAATCAGGATTTTTAAAAATAACTTCAAAAACCTTTATCCATTTAAAAAAAAAGTAACAAAATAAATCTGATGGGTAATTAAATAACAAACTAAATTACAGCAATTTCATTTAATTCTGATAAGGCGTTCAAGAGAAAATAAGCTCAAAGCAACGAAAAAAGCAGAAACTTGATAAAACCACCTTTCGATGGTCTTTGTGTAAATACTACATTCGTAGTGCAAACATTGCAAATGCAAACATAAAAATGTTCTTATTAAATTTTGATTATAACTAATTACTTACAGAGAGTTTATTAGCTATAACTTTTTAACGAAGCGTTTCCGGATTTATGTTTATAGGAACTTTTTTGTTCTAAATTAAATTTCTTATAAAACCCTGAAGTTTCATTGATCTGATCTGGAACACCCTGTATAAATACATCCAACACTCACCAGTCGATGTATCGCTTCCACTCCTCCCTTTGTCTGGTTGCTGCTGGCTGTTCCTTCGCGCCATCCAAAATGATCATCCACGTGGACACGCTGCGATTGCTCTTGCGATCTCTCTCACACACACAATACCGAGTAATTCTTCCATAACGATCGCCCGTTACTTCGTACGGCACTCCCGGACATTTTACAGACACGCACTTGGACTCGCGAGAATAAATGACACGAGATACACACGCGTCGGTTTATCGGAATCAAGATCGTTCACCGGTAGAAAATCCGGTTGCCGAAAATGGCGAAGCACACTAGAATATCGCAAGAGAGATCACTTGTGTCTCGATGAAAATTCGTTACTCTCAAATCCCTCGACGATCCTCTTGACACTGGCGCTCGAATAAAGCTGAACGCACACTATACGTCACCGTCATATCAACGCAACGTCAGATATTCTGATATGACTCTCGAACACACTGACTGTCACGGACTGATATTTAAAACTCGTGTAAGAATTTTGGCGCCATATCTCGCCAGTGACGTCACGTAGTGTATGACGTACGCGCGTAGATCGTATTCACGCCGATTACGAAGGTCCATCGATCTCGTTCGATCTGATATTTACACTCATTATCAGACGATCACCCGTTACTCGATACGACACTCCCGACCCTCGTTCGCGCACAAAATTCACCGTCGACGTGTAAACGACGCGAAAAATCACAGAGCTGTCACGGCTCGTTCGCGAACCCGACGAGTAATGTGATACAACTGACAACTGAAGATGCCCGCGAGTAATCTCCGATCACGTGACCCATGAGCGCCCCCTCGTCGACCTTAACAAACTACGAAGGCGAAAATTCAACTATACATTTTATTAAATTATACGTATTTGGAGGGAATAAATACGCGGTACTATATGTGCTTTTATGTTCACGGATATATATGTATTATTTGTATCTATGTGAAAGCGTAGAAAGCTTCGCACAATTTCTCTAGTAATTTAATTATCGAATAAAACAACACGATTTATGTATATATATATCTGTAATGTAAAAATTCTTTGTGGAAAAATAGAAAATATTGCGTTTTCACATAATCATAAATATAAAACACATAAGAATATTCTTTCTATTTTTACTCGAAATATATAAACTATGCAAGTTTCAAATAAATTGATGCGTGTAAAAATATATATTTATTCACCGAATAATTGAGTAAGAAAATCGACGAGATGTGAATTTTATTCGCGACACGATCGCGATTTTTTTCGTTTCAAATAAACGCGACGCGAGAAACGATTTACTAATTTCGATCACTTTATTATACGAGGAATGTAAGAGTTCACATACGTGATAGAATCTTGTGAGGATAATGAAATTAAAACGAGTCTAATTAATAATACGATGAGAGATTCGACGACGAAACGATGTTACCGCGACGCTAGACTCGGTTAGACTGACGTGAAATTAGGCTACTAGTATTACTCTACATGCGTGTATGTATATGTGTGTACGCCTCGCGTCGAGGTCACGGCTTCCAAGAATGTCATGTCACATAAGATGCTCTCGACTGACGCTCGCCTCGAGCAATTGTTTACATCAACAAATTCCGAAACCGTCCCTTTTTTCGCTGTGTATCTTTTCTCATGTTATTTTTACTTTTTTTTACACGCTCACGAGATAAGACACAACGCGGATCAAATGTATAATATTATGAATAAGGATAGAAAGCAATCTCGTCTTGAGGAAAATGGCAATCTAGTGCGGAAAAAGATTAAAGGATTCGCTTGCATTCGTTATCGAGAAAATATATGTTACATATTATGATTGTTTTATGATTAATCCAAGAATTATAGGAATCGAAGTTACATTGCGTGCGTTATTTTCACGTGGTTATTTTCCCTTCTCATCCTACTTTCTCTTTCTTTTTACGTATATATATGTGGAAAATATTATTGTGTGAAATAATATTTTATCTTGCATGATTTCTTTTCAATGCACTTTATACATTTAATTGAGACTACTTTTTACACTCGTTTTAAATTTAAAACATCATTATTATTTGAATAGATATAGAGACACCGTTATATGCGGACACTGAATAAATAAATCAAAGAATAAAAGTTCTAAAAAACATTTCTCGAAGAGAAAATGCATTGCAAAATTATATCATTAAAAAATATAAATAGATAATATAATGTTAAACGTTTAATTATGTTTTATTTAAAATATCTAACAAGAATTATTGCTGGGTCTATAAATCCGAAAATGATAAAATAATCAAAAACTGGCTTGCAGTGTATGACAAGTAGGTTTATGAGACTCTTTATATCGTCCGCATATATTTTTCATCGTAATATAATGATCGTAATATAATGATTGCCGGCTAATAAAATTCCTCTTTTATCCACGAAATAAAACGCCGATCGTTCTTTAACGTCATTGAAGATTTAATATTAATATCAATAAGGAAACTTTATGATATCCTCCGACGTGAAAACTGTGTTCCACTAACATTCAGAACTTTATAATTTTTTTCAATGCACTTTATGGCGATTTTTTCCATTTTAAGAATGTCTCTATTTTAAAGGGATAAATTCTAATTTTATATGTGCGTATATGTAATGTATATATAATATATATATATATATATATATTATATAATAAAATATGTGGAGTTCAGAACTTTATAATTTTATCAGATTATTTTGACTTCAAATCGAATCAGCTGCAGAGTGCGATTCAATTTAATTCTGGATTTAAAAATTTACGATTCTAAAAATAAATTTGTCAGATTGAATAGATACTTTATTCTGATGTCTTGATTTAATTTTATATTCTATATTTTTTCTCTCGTAGACACACACACATACATGCTCACAAATGGATCAAAATTTCTATAATTCAATTAAAGAACATTATTTTTCCTGATAATTTTTCTTATTATAAGGTATATAAAATCTTTTAATTTAAAAATCGCGTTTATATAGAAATAGAAAATTTTCAAAGGATATAAATTAATTAATTAACAGAAAACCTCTTGTCTCTAAAACTCTATGTTCATTATTCATATGTTTATTAAAACATGTTTTCATTTATTGATTAAATCATTTTAATCAATTCGAAACGGATGAAAAAGAGTTTAGTGAGAGTTTCTCGAAGAAAATTGATCGACGTCCAGCAAACTACAGCTTCTTGCGGTATTCTACGCCGGCGACGAGCAAATTCAATCGACGTTTACACCGTGCTTACGCACTACTTTAATCCAATTAAATCTGACAAAAAAAAAAAGAAGACGGCGCGACAAGAACGTTGGCGGACCGGTAGAGCCAGACACTCTTACGCGACATTACGATATCCTTCCTCTTTCTTTTTCCTCGTCCAGCATTCCGCGGATCTAATATCTTGTTCTTGCAGGGATGTGTGTGTGTGTGTCTTGTCGTCGTCGATTATACGCGGGTTCAGCTAAAGAAATGGATTTGCTCGTAAAATCGAGAGCCACAATCGGCCGGTGAAACGCACCAATAAATTGTCGGCCAGTGAATTTATTCGTGAATTAAATCCGCCACGATGGCGACCCGATTATTCATTAATAGAGCCAATACTTAGCACGTGCGATAACTCGATCGCGCATTGAATCGGTTATTTCACAGCGTGTCTCTTGCGCAATATTGCAGACAGGTTGCAGGCTGGGCGAAAAGACTGGGATGCTCGAAGACACTGTAAAATGATATTTGAACGTTAATATTAGAAAATAGTTATCTATGGCAAATTTTGATTTAATAAAAAAATTAACGTCAACTTTGTCAAAAATTTACCGTCCGAGATAATATCTTTTAGTAAGTTTGTAACACCCTGGGTATAATAATGCGATGAACGATCTGCGGTCGCAATCGGTTCCACTTTGCTCCGCATGCACGGCGATTATAAGAAAACGAGCTCAACCCGTAATTACGCGCAAGACGCAAGATACCGCCGAATAACGTAATAGCCACGTAGTGTGGCTGTTTTCGGTGTTTTCTGCGTCTGGCGTGAATAACCGGTGCAATTACCAAGTACACGAAAGGTTGCATTAACCTCCTTGACCCATCGGGATCTTTTGACCTCGCCGAGGTCGGCCAATCGAGATCATGCTTATTACTCTTGAATGCCAATGTACGGTCTGTCGCAAAAATTACCGCCTGCTGCGATCGCCGAAAAATGGTACTAAATATATCTGAAACACAAATATCTGATAAATAAAACACGTTTTGTCAAATTGCCAAAAAAAATTTGCGATATTAAAAAAGCGTAGAAAAATAGTTTTTAATAAACTGGCTGAAATATATTTATTTGTTGCTTATTAAAAACCGTCTTTACTTATGCGTGTAAAATAATACGTGCATAATTTTATGTTCATTATGAAATATTTTATAGCAGCGTCAGAAACTCAAAGGAACATGAAAACGATATTTTCTCGACGAAGACCATAACATATATTTCTTTTTCATTGTACTTCATAATTATCGTTCTTTATACAAAGCCCGTTAGCTTAAAGTCGCTCTCTCTCTCTCTCTCTTCTTTATTTCTCGCGCGTTTTGCGGCCAACAGCGGACGATATATTTTACACGCCTCGGACATTAATCAGAGCTGCAACCACATTTTTGCTCGGTCGCGATTTTCAGAAGGTGGAAACTTCTTTCTCTCTCCTCCTCCTCTCTTCACTGTGTCCTACGTAAGAATAAGCATAAAGAAGAAATCGCGAAGAAACTTCGGTCGGACGTATCTTGCGAGAGCGCGACATTAATCAACGCGATCCAACATTGTATCGTTCTTTTCTACAGCGCGATATTCTCGAGCTGGGCGAAGCTTTTTGCGCGTCCATCGGTACCAGCGTGTCCATAAAGGGAAAGGAGAGGAAACCGTGGCGCGTTATCCTTTGCGAAATTCAGCGGGCGATATATACGGGGGGACTATCCTTGGCACAAAGATATAAATTAATGATACTGCGCTCCCGAATTTTTCTTATCCGATGAAAGATGAAGGAAGCGCGTCGCATTCGCGCGAGAAAGTTGAGAGTTACGATAAGTTCTTAACGTAATCTTCGCGCCAGAGAGCAAGCTACTGTTTTTATTGCCTTGCGAATGGACTAACAATTTAGCGACAAAAATGGTCTCAACGTAAAATATCCTTTGACACGAGTTGAAAAATGGAATGCTGTCTTAATAATGTCAACGCGTCTCGCACGATTTGCCTCGTAATCGTTCACGGTTCCGTTGTGCAACACAAATGCGGGATGCCGTAAATATCGACGGGAGAAAGGGTTGATCTCCCGGCACAGAGAGAACGGATCTCTCGGTATCGGTTCAGTGGTTCGGGAGACGGCGCCGTCCGTCGTGCATCGCCCTTTACATTTACGGCATCCTCGAATTCCAATAAAACGCCTTTTTGTAGCACGTCCAGAGTGTCACCGCGGCGACAAAGGGCCGGGTATATCAGTCTGCATTTCTCGGCGAAAGACAACGACGACGACAACGACGACGACAACGATGAGGACGATGACGATGAGTCTTCCTTGGAAGAGAGATGTGGTCTTACCGCTTTTTTCCTGTTACCAGTGCGAGATGCACTCCCGCTTTGTCTACCCGAATGGAAATTAGATCCGCTCTCGTTCCTCCTCCTCCTCCCCTTTTCCTCCCAGGCGTATCGTGGGATTGAGAAGGAGCCGAGGACTTTTATCTCCGACGTAAGCAGATTCCGTCTGAAGTCTCCATTTCAGTCGGCATTACGCTCCGTGGTCGTCTCGCACGTTTGTCAGAAGGCGCTTCCGAAATTATTTGGAGCCGCGTAATCCTGTCGCTTCGTTTGGTTCCCGGACAATCTAATAAAGAAAACATGGATTTAGCAGAACTTTGTCTATGGATGTAGATGTAAAATTGTAAATTGCTAGATTGCATATTCACAAAGATACTCCACAGAGATTGTAATATGTACTTATTGTTTGAATATAATTTGTTAGCTTGAATTTTATGTGTGTGAAAATCATGACAGAGAATGGTTTCAAAATCTTTCTTTATCTTAATATAATTTATATTTTTTAAGAGCTATATTAATTTCTTTTGTTAAATTTAGATCGATTTATTATGATAAATTTTTTTTAACTTAAAACTAAATTGTTTTATCTATATTTATTACCACAATTTTAAGAAAAATTTCTCTCTCTCTCTCTCTTATTAGAAAAATATTTCTCTTTGTTTAATTTATGTTTGCGCGCGAATAGGAAATTGTTTCCAAAAACTACTAATATTATTCATCTCTTTCCGAAAGTATAACATAATTCTTTATTTATCTTTTGCAGCACACATGTCCAATTTTAATTTATTTTGTTTATCCATATAACGTAATCGCTAAACAAACTGCATGTCGCAACATCGGTCACCGCTTTATCACAAGACAAATCTGCGAGACTCATTTTGCCGGAAGCGGCATAAAATAGATGAATATTGAACATGGTGCCTCGGGTCATAGAGAATGAACTCTTTCATGAAACGCGTCGACCGGACACACGGTAGCGGTAGAAAAAGAGATAGGAAGTGATTGCATTTCGCTTTGTGATCAAAGTGAATCTTTGTAATCTCCTGTATTCGCTAGTTTTCGTACTTTATCGACTCGGTCCAGACCGAGTACGAAAAGTAAACTGTTCTCTATTCGCCTCTAATTTTAGGCATCAGAAAGAGTCTGCCAAAGAACGATTTAAGAATTGAGTTTTCGAAATTTTTCGTGATAAAATATTTCATTTAACTTATACATATTAAAATTACTGAAAGATATAATGTACATATAATTGGTAATATAATTTTTTATATATTTATTATTTTAAATTTTAACGAGTTAATGATTTCCGTTCCCTTTTTTCTATCTCAAGTTGTGTCGTCGACATTATAGACTTGACTGACAGGAAAGTAACAATGCAAGATTCATGTCGAGCCGCTTGTAGAGATCGCGAAAAGGGATAAAGGGGGGGGAACGGAGCAAACAAAGAGTAGAGGTCGCTAATCTTCTCTTGTATGGAAAAATCGAGAGAGCGACCACTGGTGCAGACTCAGACTGAGGTTTTCGAATAAGCTATTCATTCGGTGCAATATACCGTGTTAATATAGTGCATCCCGTCTAGACGGCAACGGCCGTTCTAGTCGGGCGAAAAGTTACCTCGTTACGTGGCGAATTCCTGCGGAAAGAACCGGGAAAGAACGGGGATAAATGAATTTGGAAATAATCCGTGCCGCGCTCTCGGTGGTCTTTTACCTAGAAATTGCAAAAAAAAAAAAAAAAAAAAAAAAAATGCAAAAAAAAAAAAATCCTCTTATCGAAACAATGAAAGAATATAACCAGGTTTTCGCACAAACAAAAACTTAGTAAATAAATTTCAATCTATACTTTCTATACGCAAAAAGTCTCAATCAATGAAAAGAAATTAAAGATACTTTTAGTCAAATTCTTTTAGAAAAAATAACGTTATAAGTCACAATTCTACAAATACAAGATCTGCGCGTCGAAGAGCGTTCGCCGTCTCGTCGTATTCGCGCGCCGTTCCTTAATAACCTGGTTTAATTAAATTCAAAGCGCACGTCGTCGTCGCTTCGATGTCCAATAACCGACGGTGGCAGTTGTGCGATGCAACCACCACGGAAACTGGTGCAAACTCGCTCGGGAGCCACGGACGACGTTATCGGGACGTCGAGAGCGAGCGCGACGGGACGTCGTACAATACGTCGCATTCAACGGACCGCGTGCGGTGTCAGTGGCACCCACGTCGATATAATGTATAACAGTCACGGTGCATCGAGGTATATCGCTCGATTCTAGTCAATATAGGAAACTGCGCCTATAATAAAGACAAGAATTCCGCGATGAGAGAATTCCTGCGCGCTGCGTTGTGTTGAAATATACATCTTGTCGTTCTCTGACAAGTTGGAAAGTTTGTATCCAAAGTATCCGTGTCATGATGTTCGCACACCGTTGAAAACACTATATGATAGTTTGTACGAGCCCCGCGACGATGATCCAATCCACTTTCTCTGACAAGCTTTGAGGGAATTTATCCTTGAAGTTGGAAAAAATTGACTTTTCGCTCTCGAATTTTTTTCTCTGGAGAAATCTAAAATCCTAAAACATTAGAATGGTATTCGTATCTTATTTTGTCTTCCACGTAAATTATCTAGTATAATAGCTTTGTAATATATAATACAAAAAGCATAATTGATTGTATATATATAAAATCAATTATACTTTTATATAAATACCATGCTTTTGATAATGTATAGAAACGTACTTCAAATTTCAAACAAAAATTGATTGCAGCGTCCACTTTAAATCGTTCCAACAAATTGTCATCGTTCAGATTGCTGCTCCAATTTGACCCTAGGGCTCTGACAAAACAAAAACGACATTCGAGAACGCTGTTTATCAGCCTCGCGAGTGTTCTTGCGAAAAAAAAGAACGGAATCCCGTGCGGCGAATAACAGCGCAACGCGAACGTACATTTTCGAGGATCAGCAATTAATTCGACCGCTCGGTATATTTGGAGTAGCGAGAGAATAGCCGGGTCGGAACGCGCATTCTCGATAGCTTTATAAAAGGCTTTTACCAACGCAAATGCTATAATACATGTGTGCGTACGCACATATACGCAGCTCTTTCTCTCTGCCTCTCGCAGGTTACAATTTAACGTATACCGGGTGCGACAACAAAATTAGCGCTTCCATCTCGCCCATCTGCCGCAATGTCCATCGCCCATTATCCGCCGGTCGGATGATAATAACTGTCCATTAGCTTGGCGACGTCAATGTATAACGCAATTGGATGAAGTATCGCTTCGTTAATCAAATTCTGAAATTTACGTAAATTAGATTGATCAGGTATTGGCTTGTTACAAATTTTCGCGATAAATCCGTGGCGGTAAAATATATCTTTAAATTGCACATCTAAACTTTTTAGATAATTTTCGCTCGTGTTAAAAAAATTGCGTGTATATAATATATGTATAAAATATACATTTTTCTCCAAATTTTTAATATATAGAAATTGATGAGAATTATCGACTCATTTTCTAAAACAAAGCAAGATAGTGTATAAATGTTTCTAAAATAATGTCTCTAAAAATAAATTCTCTTCTCTTTGGAAATTTGAATAATTATTATACATTGTTATCTGCTACTAATCGTTCCTAATTTAAATAAAGTTTAGGTAAAATCTTTTGAATTTAATTGAATATATGGCTATAACATGCAAAACATCGATACTTAATCATCGTGTGACAAGCAGAGATATTTTTTTGAAGATATGATCGATATACGCTGTCGAGCATGTGTGACCATTAAATGATCGATGTCAATCCATCCATCAACACGATGACTGTTTTTCTATTCCACTTTTAATGCATAGCATGGGATAGCATCGTATGTAACTATACGTTGCGGATACTTTATTTAATATAATATACGATTGTGTTAGAAAAAAATTCATTGCACGGAACGATTAATTTTTAGCGCACAAAACTGTTCTTATCACAACCGTTTCAAGTTATTTCAATTTACAAAAAAAAGAATTAATTAATTTCATAATTAAATATCAAAATAATATTGTTTCGATAATTTTGTTATAAACGGTTTTACTAAAAGTATCTTCATCTTTCTGTATCATTATAACAAAAAATCTATGATATTCATGAAATTTATAATTCGCAGACCTCGTAATTATGTTCGAAGACGTTATTTTCGATGTTTATTATTTAAATTTGCGCACAGATTAGTATAAAATACGGCCTTTTCAAAATTATGCGCGGTTTCATGGTCCTCGAGAAAGATGTCATTATGACGCAGGTGCGAGACTCCTATTCACGTTCCGTACCTCATTAGTCCGTTTCAGAAGACTGGTCGGAATGACTAGAATTCGCCTTGAAAAGAATGGATTTCACACGACGTGCGAACAGCTGATTGCCAATAGCGTAAATAGGTTAACGTGTCCCCGGAATATACATTACTTGAGAAAATTTGCTCTTTTATATAATATACTTAATTTTCATCATATGTATATATGCATATTTTCTTCTCGCAATTAAAAAATATTTATAAATAATTTTATTGCAATTAAAATATTTCAGATTTATTCATCGACAAGAAAAAGAGAGACCTCGTTTTTTCATATTATACAGGGTGCGGCATTTATAGTGACGCGGGCATATTTTTCGGAAACAAAGTGAGATATCAAAAAATGTAATATCTTACTTCGTTTCCGAAAAATATGTCCGCGTCACTATAAATGCCGCACCCTGTATATATAATTTAGGGCCTTAAAAGAACTTTTAAAACTTTTAATTGCATTATCTCGACGAATTAGCTGGTCGCGACTATTCCGTGTTTCGCAACGAAGGGTTAATGAACGTAATACACGTTGACGTTGGTAAATTTGGTCAACTCCGCACCCTTTCGGGTGCGCCCCGCGATCAGGACGACGCACCCTTCCATATTGCGTCGAGTCAGCTTCGACGTAACGCGCACATCTGTGATATTTTTCTCCTGTATGTGTGTGTGTGTGATTGTTCATGCTTTTTAATCACGAAGAGAGAAAAACACAGCGAGCCGGGAGATCAACTACCTCGGCGGAATATAATCATTCTTTCGTCGTGACGTTGATAGGCGAGGCGCGCGCGCGCGTTAATAACACTAATTGTATTAGCGACCGATGCTTCATTAATTAAAGAGCTTGCCTTAGTCTACGACAAAAATGAGGATATTTTAAGAGCGAATATATATATGTATATCGAGAGACAGATTATTCGCTAGAGAGCTTATTCGTCTTTAAGAATATTCTTATTTCGCGAAAAAATAACGAATGAAAGAATCATCATTTCTTATCGCGATCGCGTTAAATGCTAATGATTATTTTTCATTAGTTCGGACCTAAACACAATTATCGTCTTTAAAAATTATTCTTTTTATAATATTTTTAATGAATTCTCTAAATTCAAGAGGGAATATCATTATACACAATGCAAGATGATTTTATTCTGTATAGATTAATAGCTAAAGCAAAATTTACAGGGGATGCCGGGGGGAGAGGGGAGGGATTGTTGTTATACGGGATGGGGGAGAAAAAATGGGCGCGAAGACTGCGCCGAGTGTTACTGAAAAAATACCATCGTTTTTATTCTTTATCAATAAAATTATAATCCTTACGTCTCTATAAGCGAATTAAATCGCGACGAGTTCTTGTCAGCCGAAGAATGCGTCGTCGCTGGAGCCCTCGGGCGTGCAATTCTGCAGCAACGGCGTCGTATTCGACATGTCGTTGATGACGTCGCCGCCGACAACGCCGTTGCCGCCGTTGCCGGTTCGCGGCGGCTTCACATCCTGGCCCTGCGAGGATGACGTATCGTAAACGCCGCGGCTCGTCGTCTGCTGCTGCTGATTCTGCGAATTGATCTCGTTGTAGACCAGTTCCTGGATCTTGAGCCGAACAAACATCTGCCTGTCGAGCGGCAGACTTCTCAAGGGATTCCGAACGCTCATAAGGAAGTGATAGGTATCGTCCTCGTCCTCGGACCCGATCGCCAGCCTCTTCTGCAACGACTCGTATCGCTTTCGATCCACCTCCACGCCGTAATCATTGTCGATCGCGTCCATGAGCGTCCGCTTCCGGCCGATTACCTTGCTCATCTTCGGCGGCGGCATCACCTGATGCAGCCCATCGTCATTGGACAGCAACGACTGGCAGGAATCGCCATCCAGATCGTCGAACTGCGTCTCCTCGTGGCCCTCGAGGATGTCGATCTGCGGCTCGATCTGTGTGCCATCCGGCGAGGAGCGCATACCGATCGTCCCGACGCAGTTCTGCGACAAGGCGCAGCCAATCACTCTGGAATTCATTTGGTCCCGAAGGAAGAACAGACTCTTGAACCAGACCCACTTGGAGTCGTGCTCGGTGCCGCCGCCACCATCGCATTTACCCCGATAGGTCTTTTTCAACTCGTTCCTAAAGTTGTCACGCAGGTGCTTCCATTTAGACTTGGCGACGTCAGCTGGAACAAAGTGGCGGAGAATGATTAATGTTTATTCATTGATGATCAATCAATTCGATTTGTATGTAAAGGAAGAACTTTCATCTCTTTAACATTTTTTTTATAAATAAAAAAAAAATATCGAAGGAGATGGACCAACATCGATTAACTGTATGTTAACATACAAGATATCAAGATACATATAAATGCCGTCCTCAATCAGTGAGTATTATCTCACGATCGATATTTAAATCAGTGTTTGTTTGTCATAATAGCGTTCCGCGCGCACGTGCTGCGTGTAAACCGCGAGTAAATGACGCATACGCTCGCGGAAAAAAAAAAAAAGAAATCCTCATCGGCCCATCGTGTATACACGGTGGCATCAGCGTGCGACCTGGCGGCGATTCGCGCGAACTAGCAGCCTATCTCTCTCCGGTCGGGTTCTCCTCTCGCGAAGCGCGGAGCTATCGACCTGTTCCAGCGAACCAACAGTCCGGTCGCCCCGGCCGGAGGTCACCAGATCCCTTCGATTTCTCGTCGTCTTTACCGACGTTTTCCTCCCGTCCTCTCTATCGGCTTCGCCGGCTCTTGTCTGGGACTTGCACTATATACTATATCGCGTAATGAGATAGTTCGAACATCTTCGGGGTACTCGCGAGTACAATGTACGAATCTGACGACCAATCGACTCGTACCCAACCCAACGTATCCCACCCACCCATCGAGCGGCCAACCAATCTCGCGAGTAACCATCCACACGTGCGCACATAGTACATGTACACAAACGTATTTACAAGGACGAATACGTGGATGGAAAGAGAGAGAAAGAGGGGGAAAAAGGAGTCGCATCATCATTCATCGAACGCGGACCGGCTATACTCACTCGACACCTCGCAGGCCCTCGCGATCTCCCGCCACATCTTTAATATGACGTCGCGATTGTGATAGTTGACATTCTTCTGGTCCCAGATAGCTGGTCTCGCGTGCACCTCGCTGATGAGCCGCTGGAGGTCCATCGTCATCGCGCTCCTACGGCCGCCGGCGGCGTTGCATCGCCGTGGCGAGCGTTTGCCGGCCCGTCGATTGAGAAGCGTGACGCCGGCGGTGCCGACGGAGGAGGCGGCCGCCGCACGCGTGCCGCTTCCTCCGACGCGTAGCTGGACTTCTGACCCGGTGGCCGCGGCCGTGTGCTGCTCCGAGGCGAGGTGGCGGCTTCTCGGTTTATCGACCCGCGCCGCCACCGAGTCTGACAGCCCCGCGGTAGCTGCGTTGGCAGCGTCAGCGTCGGGCTCGAGGACGACGACGGCGTCGGCGTCGGCGTCGGCGTCGGCCGCGGTCTTCACGGTTACGGCAGCGTTACCGCTCGGTGTATTGATAACGCTGCTGCGGGTGGCGACGGCGACGCCGGTCGCGTCGTCGTTGCTTGTAGGGAGCCGTTGACGCCTCCTCTTCTTCCTCTTGCGTCTCGCGACACGGCAGGTGGCTGCGACGGTCGAGGAAGTGGTGGAGGTGGTGGTGCTCGCTGCGACAGCAGTGGCAGCAACGGCTGCAGCGGCGGTGCTCGCGGCGATGCCGAGCCGAGCGGACGAGCGTAAGCGGCACGAATCCAGGGCTATATCCTCGTCGGCTCGTGCGCGCGTGTCGTCCATGCACGCGCGCGGGCCAGCCGGGAAGGACGCGGCGCACACACGCGCGAGGAAACGAGGCGGTTGGCGACGACGCTGACCGATCCTGATCCTGTCGACGCTTGACGCTGGAGACGCTGACAACAAAGATGGATTAATGTCGGGCTCTCGTCCTCGGCGAGGAGAGGCGCGAGTACAAGACGCGAAGAGGAAAGCGGAGCGAGTACGAGCGCGCGGACGCACACACACGCTCCGGCGATGTAGTGCTACTCGCGCGCGTCGCGGCCACCGCGAGGCCTTCGGCTCCGCTCGACCCCGGTGCTCGGCACCGCTCGGCCCCGCTCGGCGCCGCTCGACCCGCTTCGGCTCGATTCAGCGCGTCTCCGCGCGACTTTTGCGCGGCGCGGATAACGCGCTGCTGATCGCCCGCGCGAGAGAAGGAAAGAGCATGATCGGGGCCAGGTGGAGAGGAGCGGGATGACGCCGCGAGCGAGTAAACTACCACCGGCTCGCTAAGCGCGCAGGGGCGTGCGAGACATTCCGAAGCGAATGACAAACAGATCGCCAGCCGCGATATTGAAATACTCTAATAAAGCTTCTCTGAAACTGATAGCATCAAACGTAATTTGATCAGCAAAGTGGCCGAAATTATATTCGTGAACATTGCTAATCAACCCCTAACAGCGAAGTTATTTTCTCTGTTTTCCAACTTCCGGAAACTTTAGGGAAACGGATTATTCCATTGAGAGAGAATATTCCTTGACACGAATATTCCCCGACTAACTTTCTCAGATATCATGCTTGCAAAATTTAAACTAATTAGGCAAAATAATATTATAACTTTCTTTGGAATATATTCTCGACCTTCATTAGTTTGAACATCAGTCTCCATTGCTATTATCAGCTGATAGAGAGTCTTTATAGAGAGTATTTCAATTCAACGCTTTCTCTTCGCAAATTAAATCTGCCGGAGAAATTATCCGCTTTGGACATCTCATACAAACAAGGCTTATTTCGCTGAATGCACCTTGGCGTTTAACCCGCGTCCGCTACTGAATGGGCGTTCGGCTGCAGTCGCATCGTCACCCGCTGCTCCGAAAAGGCGCATCCGCTCAGCTCGGGGCTTTATCTCGACTCCGCGTCGCGCAGCATCCAGACAAACACGCTCGTCGTCCGCTCGTTAGCGTGACTTCACTCGACCTGGCTCGGCTCGTTTCGGCCGACCTCGGCATGGGCCGTGGCGATCCGCATAATGTCCAGCATCCAATCTGCAATTCGGCGGTTGGAGTCTCGTGGCCGTGATTTCTTAGCTCTGAAAGCAAACAGAAAATGATCGATGAGAAAATGTCCCGATGCCAATAAAAACTCAATAAAAAATGTTACCCTTGAAGAATTTAGAACTAAGATCGGAGTATAAGTAATTTTATATATAATTTTAATGATTGAATGCGACATCTCTCTCTCTCTTTCGCGGCATCAGCGTTTTCATAAAACGTGTCCTTCGTGCACAATTTGACTGCGCGCTATCTTCGCCGTATAATCTCGCGATTTCTCGCCTGAGCTTTATCTCCGTTATGTCAATTCGACATCTCTCTCTCTTTCGCGGCATCAACGTTTTCATAAAACGTGTCCTTCGTGCACAATTTGACTGCGCGCTATCTTCGCCGTATAATCTCGCGATTTCTCGCCTGAGCTTTATCTCCGTTATGTCGCATTTCCCGCATTTCTCCATATATACAATTCATCGTCGCGCCACGTACTAATCAGCGCCCAACTTGAAGTAATCTGTCGGTGTGTCTCATATCAGTTTCTGCCTAGTCGGCAAATACAAAGAGACCGAAGGAAAAGGGAAAATCCCCGCTAGTTACATCTGCCCTTGTCTCCGCGGAAGATTTCGGATTAATAATACCGCTGGATGTGAGCTCAACAGCTGAGCCAGACTGTGCACCAGCATGATTTCGAGACAAAGTTACACATCTTTGCTTAAGATTGTTACTATTACGAAACTTTGACACTTAAAATTGAGAGAGAGAGAGAGAGAGAGAGAGAGAGCATATGTGAATAATTGTTATATCTCGACAATCGAAAATTAGTCGTTTAAATTATGTATTTTCCTCAATTTAATAAGAGTTTCGAAATCTTAAAGATACAAAAATTTTAAATCTCATTGCGAAAAGAGAGATTCATCATTTGAAAAACATAACTGTCAAATGTTAAAACTTATAATTTTGTATCAATAATGGATGCTGCTAATTCAACAATCCTTGTAAAATTAATGATCGCAATGCCAAATTCAATCAAAACTCTCTATCGTACACTGAGAAAAAAAAGTTGTTAACTTGACTAAATGCGTTCAACTAATTATTATTTCTTTAATTGAAATATTTAAGTATTTAAATTAAATACGACATATTAAATCTAACATGACGTATTTGACTTAAGTACTTAAATATTTCAATTAA